CCGGAGTCGCCACCCCAAGAGATATATGCCCTTTGCCTTTTGAAGTGCCGAGCATTCCTTCCGCTTTTCGGGCATTTGTTCTTGATGTGCCTGGCTTCACCACATCCATAGCACACAGGGCCATCCTCAACCTTTTCTTTCTTCCGTAGAAGTTTACAAAACTTCTTCATGACAAGCTTGACTTCATCATCGTCGCTTGAATCATCCATCGTTGATTCTTTGACGGCTTTTAATGCTATCCCTTTCCTTTGGTCATTCAAAGACGGGTTAAGAATAGTAGATTCATAGGTTTTTAGATTACCTCTTAGACCGTCGATGGTGACATTTGATGTGCCGATTGATTCATAGATGGCATCGGCCTTGGATCGCCATTCGGATGTCAAGCTCCGTAGGATCTTTCGCACAAGATCCTTGTCGGTGTAAGTCTTCTTTAATGCATGAAGATCGTTGACTATTTTGGAAAATCGGTCGAACATGTCGTCAATCTTCTCGTGCTCCTTCATCCTGAACATCTCATACTCTTGGGTGAGGAAGTCGATCTTGGCTTCACGTACTTGGTCCGTTCCTTCGTACGTCACCTCGAGCTTATCCCACATCTCCTTGGCGGTTGTGCAGCAGGAGATCTTGCGGTAGTCATCAGGATTTACGGCACAATATCAACTTGTCACCAACTTTCTTCATCGGCACCTCTTCCCCGTTTTTGATAACCAACCATAATTGGAAGTTTGTGGAGCGAATATAGATTCTCATTCGTTCTTTCCAATATGTATAATTGGTTCCATCAAAAAGAGGTGGCCGTGTGGTTAATTGCCCTTCACCTATTCCTGCATACAAATTTCTAGAAGAAGAACCCATGATCGCTTTTACTCTCAAACGGTTCAGTTTGGACGCGAGTTAGGCTCTGATACCAATTGTTAAAATAAGTGCCCTTCACTAGAGGGGTGAATAGTGAGGCACGAGAATGTTTATAAATTTTCGCGGAATAAAAATCGCAGGGATAAAGTAAAGAGCGGAATAAAAAGGAGTAAAGGGAGCAACTACTCACCTCTAAATGATGTGTTGAAACTACGAATGGATGATGATGAACGAACAAATGAATGAACGGTTGAACGACGAACAACATACGACTTCTCGTGTGAGCTTCTCCTCTTCTACCTCCCCGTCTACTTGCCGGAAAACCTTCTGGAGCTGCTAAGGCCTGGCCGAACATGCAAGGGGAGAGGAAGAGATGGGTGTTATGGTTTGGGGAGGTTACACATAATGAGAGAAATGAAGGGGAAGAGGAGTTTTATAACCATGAGGAGTTATGGGAGTTTATGGAGAAATTATGATGGGATATGAATGGGGGGTTATGGGAGATGAAGAGTGTGGCGTGGGAGAGGATTGGATGGGGAGTTATCTCCCTAAAATTTTACTCCGTTGTGTAAAACCTGAGCTGAATGGTATGCGGTTTTTCCCCCGAACGAGTCCGAATTGAGATCCGTTTACGTTTTTGGAAACAGACAGTCAAAACGAATTTAATGATATCTTTAAAATATTTTTCTAAAAACTTTATTTTCAAACTTCCGGATCCATCCCAATCATTAATTAATTAATTTACTTAATTAATGTCGAGAGACCCGTTATTAAAACATCTTTTACAATTAAAATACATTAGCTTTGGAAAGCCATTTAAAGAGATCGAAATCTTAATTTTTATTATTAAAAATAATGAGTCTCATTAAATAAATAATATTTATTTATTTAAAATATTGGCTAGCTATTAGGCCAGTTTGTAGGGCGTTATAGAGTCTGCCTATGACTAGACCTGGAGGGGTTATACCATTAGATCAGCTGGTAGATGTCCCATATAGAGTCAAGTATTTGTAGTTTATTTATGCATATTATAAAATCATATTGTATGTTTCATGCATGGCTGTGCATAATCCTTCACTTGTAGATGGGTGTGTTACCATCAATGGTCAAATTGTACCACACACTCCATACGAGCATATAGGGACTAGCTTGACAGATTGCTCAAGGGAGAGGTGAGTATTCATAATATCATAATTTATACATATATATTTTAGTTTGAATGTGTATCTTATTAATTGTTTATGCATGCAGTTTGTTTGGATGCCGTATCCGAATCTCGAGACCCTACTGCCCTATTCTTCAGCTGGAGTCAGAATATGGATTTCTAGAATCCCTCTAATCTATGCGTACGTAGTGGAGATGTACTATCCTGATCGCTTTTGCAGGTAGTTTGGTGCCCTGCAACACGTCCCTCAAGTTGTTGTCTATGACCGTCATCTACACCACATTAAGTCAAATGTTATGCAAATTGGCGATGGTGAGAGACAATATTTAGAAGTGTGGGAGGGACGTTATGCTGTTACAGTGCGGATGGAGTTTGGGACGGTGGATGCCACACCGGAGTATCGTCAGTGGTACTACCTTCGTGGTCGACGACAGACAGGGAACCCCGTCCCTCAGCACGGACAAGGGTACATTGGTCCAAAAATTGAAGAAGATGCTAATTATAAAGTCAAACTCATAATGAGGGATGTTTATGAGTTGTTCCAAGTATCTGTCTCCTATAAGAAGGCATGGTGTGCAAGGTCATTGGCCATTCAGCGATTGTACGGTAGTTGGGAGGACTCGTACACCAAGCTAGCTCCTTTGCTCGGTGCAATTATTTGATCAAACCATGGGACAGTTGTGGATTTGCAAACCCAACCTTCGAACGCACCGACTACATTTCAGTTCAGGCATGTTTTCTGGTCCTTCAAGGCATCCATTGATGGCTTTCACTATTGTCTTCCAGTTGTTTCAGTGGACGGGACTCACTTAAACGGAAAGTATAAGGGAACTTTATTAATTGTCGTGACAATGACGGAAAGTGGTGACATTTTTCCCTTGGCTTTTTCCATTGTGGATGCTGAGGATGGTGTAAGCTGGAAGTGGTTCATGACAAATATCATGCGACATGTCATGCCTCCACACCGCCACATATGCATAATATCTGATAGGCACGGTGGTATTGATCACGCATTCAATAATGTTTCAGAATTGCAGGGAGGTCAAGTCACTCAAAGATTTTGTCTCCGCCACCTGCGAAGCAATTTCCATAACAAGTTTCGAAGAAATTGAAGAATATGATGTACAAAGCTGGTGAGAGCCCTAGTAGAAGTGAGTTTTAGCAGACGCTTCTCCAGATAGCATCAAAAAATCAAGAAGCTTACAACTGGCTTATGGCTATTCCAAAACACATGTAGGCATTGTCCCATGATGAAGGTGGCTCACGCTATGGTATAAGGACCACAAATTCGTCAGAAAGCTTCAATAATGTCCTTAAGGGATGTCGTTGTTTACCCGTCTTTGCCATTGTGAGATTCACCTATGACAAATTGGTCAAGCTTTTTGCTGATAGACAAACCAATGGATATTTGTGGCAACAATCTGGGTATAATTTTTCTATGAATGTGTGGAAAAATATCAAGAAAAATGAAGAAAATAGGCTTTATTGTCGCGTTGTGCAGCACCACGCACAGCATGGGATATACTCTGTGGTTGTGGATGGGTCCTCCAACAATGGCCACCGCGAGACATTTGCGGTGAATTTAAATGCACAAACATGTATCTGTGGAGAATGGGTAATATATCACATTCCGTGCATTCATGTCCATGCAGTATGTCATTAGTGTAGTGTCACCGTGGATCATTTGATTCTTAATGTTTTTTCAATCCAGTCCTACATCAACGCTTATTCGGGCATCCTAATGCTTCTTCCCGATGAGACCGAATGGCCTACTCCAGGATATGAGATAGTGGGACCAACTGCACGAGCGAGGACACAAACCGGCCGACTTATAAGAACTCGCTATCCGAATAACATGGACTACCGACCACGGCAGCGCCGCAATGAACAATAGCTATATCATGGAATTCAATTATGTCTAAGTTTATGTTTTATGAATTTCACAAAATAAATTAGTTATGACATGTATTTTGTAACCTTATTCTTATTAATAAATTATATGTACTCGATCAATAAATTTGTTGTGATTTACTTCTTATTTTAATTTCAGTGTATGGTGCTTTATTTAAAGTTAACAAATAATTAATTTATTTATGAAATAATGAGAAATTAAGGGAAAAATTATTTTAACAAAAATTGATTTTAAAAAAAAATTGAGGGACAAAAATTGACGAAAAATTGAGGAACTAAAAAAAAATTGATTTAAAGAGAGGCAGAGTTGGGTACTCCATTTCTATTAATAATTATTTGGAACACAGTTGGCTACTCCGTTTCTATAACCGTTTCTATAAATAATTATTTGGAATGGAGTTGAGTACTCGGTTTCCATAAATAATTATTTGGAACAGAGTTGGCTACTCCGTTTCATTAGAAATTAAAGCTTAAACGGAGTAAGCTACTCCGGTTGGCATTTTATGGGAAACTGTATATTTTGTTTACAAGGAACCCCTAACACCAATTCAAACTACCTGCTGTCGAAAGTTCGAAACCAGAAAATTGTTGTTTTAGATTCTCACAATCCCACGTGTTCCGTCACTGCTCGGTTCTCCGGGACATCCAGTCTAGACCAACCGGCCGATGGCAAGGGACGATGAATCATGGTCTTTGCCAAGCGTCCTAGATCTCACCAGCTTCCAGCTTCATGATCTAGACGACGTTGAACTTCCCCCTAGTCTCTCCGAGTTGGACTTGACAGCAAACCGTTTGTCGGCTATAGACTCTAGGATATCCCTGCTATCGAATATGAAGAAGTTGTCCCTGCGTCAAAATCTCATTACCGATGAAGCCATCAAGCCTCTAGGGTCATGGCAAACGATTTCTGAACTCGAGGTACAAAAAACCTAATTTTTTGATTTCCTCTTATTCTTCAATATTTAGTTTGATTTTAATTTTATAATTTTATCTTTAGAACACCAATAACCCAGTATGTTTATAGTTTTATAATTAGAACTAGATTCTTTTTATCCCTCTGGTATGCTTTGATGTAATTGGTGGCTATACATTAGAGTGTTAACAGCGGAATAATAATAATGATAATAATAATAATCTTGAACTGCCTGTAATTTTTTATTTTAGATTTGAAAATGGAATCAAAAAATGTTTTTTTATAGAATATGTCAACTTATGTTAGGGCGCAATGACATCATTTGATCCATTTAGCCGACCCCACCTAGTGGGATAAAGCTTTGTTGTTGTTGTTGTTGTATTTGTTGTCAACTTATATACTATATTTAAACTTTAGTGGCAGGTTGGGATAGCATATGAAACAAAGAAAAACATATTTTTTTTCAAATTCAAAACCTATATGCTGTTTATTTGATCAAAATAAGACTAAATTTTTTTGTTTTAGAATGTAATAAGTTTTAGCTTTTATAAGGTCATAACAACTTTTCTCAATAAAAAGCATCAACCTATTGCTATTAAAATAAAGTACTTGAAAAAAATATTTCTTGTAAGTCATCCCAAATAGGTGCTTACTTTCTTGAAGAAGTATTTGCAAATTTAATCTTTAATGTTTTAATTCTCTATAACTTCAACTAAGTATTTACTTTTAATTTTAGAACAACAATGATTGTACAAATTATATATTTTTTTAATAAGGGCGTAATGAGATTTATAAAAAAAGAGGCGTGATCTCAGTGAAGCTTAATCATTTCTTAATCAAATCTCTAATATAAATTCCCTGATTTCCCTCCATCCCGCAATATTTTTCCAATATTCTTTGATTTTCCCCGGAGTATTTGTCCACTTTCTTCTAAGACATCATAAATGAGATGGGAAATATATTACTCCCTCCGTCCCAAATTGTTTGCAATATTACAAACGACGTGCAAAATATCATTTCTTTTAAAATAATTTTATTTACAAATTGGTAGAAAAATAAAAAGAAAAAATTACACTGTTCAAAAATAGATGAAAAGTTCTACAAAATAAGATGCGACAAAAATATTTTATTTTATCAAATGGTCAACCAAAATGAGTAAAGAAACAAAAGTTATCAAGAGGCCGAAATAGTAACTGTGACATTCTTTTTGGGATGGAGAGAGTATATCCTCCACTATCTCTATCAACCTTCCAACCCTTCACTTTCGTGTCCTATTTTGGCTAATTCATTGTGCATATAATGCTTCCCACTTCACTTTCGTGTCCTTTTTTTGGCTAATTCATTGTGCATATAGTGCTTCCCACTGTTGCGGCCATTATCACATCCTCTATGATAGCCATTGCCTCAATTATTGCGGCCACACCCACGGCCTTTGCGCCCACAAGCACAAGAGTGAGAGGATGAAGTGAATAGCAGAATCGTCAAGACGAAGTACTCATATCTGAAGCAAGAGAAGCCCATTGCCAAGCTTGCAGGCAATCTCAGATTGGAAGCAACTACAACTACACGGTTGCCTCTGTAAATCTCAGAGGGGAAGCAAGAGAAGCTCATAGCCAAGCTTTCGCTGGACAATTTGACTGTGCTCGGCGGCGTGATGGGCTGCATGGAGTGGATGAATGGGGAGGATGCCAGGTGAGTTGTGTGGCATTCAGCTCGGGTGGGGGGGGGCAGTGGGTGGATGGTGGAGGAAGTTGGGGTTAGTTGGGTTCATAGTTTTTATGGCGTCGCCTAATCAATAAGGCGCTTCACTTAAGACGCCACAAAAGACTCCTCATCCTACCTAACTTCAGACAATCTTGGTGTCCTTTTGACGTCGCCTTGGCATTTGTGGCTGCCCAATCTCGCCGCAACCCACCTAACCTGACCCAGATCTTCTAAGTTGTAGTTTTCATGCGGTCCACCTCAAATGCTTTTTGTCTTCGTTTTATCTTCTGTTGTGGGCCATTGGTGCTCGCCGTTGTTAATCGTGTGTTGGTATTTTTTTCAATTTGTTTGTTGTGAAAATCAAAGTGGGATTGTTCGCTAATCTCTACTCTCTTCTAATACCTACGGTCTATGAAGCACTTCGTATATTTCATCTTTCTTACAAGTATATGTTTTTTGTTCTTTCGGACCTAACTTCTAAGGTATACGTTTTAAATTTTGAGAATTTTTTGATTGATTTATTTATTATGGAATATTATTATTATAACTCCTGTCCTATTTTTTCTTTTACCATTTTGTTCATCTCACTATTTATTTCCATCACCTTTGATGGAGCCAAAAAATTACTATTTTTTGGCTTTGGGGTGTGGTGGAATAAAGCAAAGTGACTCTTTAAAGTGTCTTTACTTCTATTATAATGAAATAGCAGTTAGTCGGTTCAACTTTCAACGCTCATCATGGATCACGTGGGAACAACTGCTCTATGTTTTAAATATAGGGTTAAGGCTACGTGTATCTGAATCCCCTTATCGTGTAATGGTCATGAGCCTTTGAGGCACTAGGGTCATGTTGTTGTAGTATAGTACATCTTATTTATCTCATGCCATATTTAGTCATATTTTTTGATTCATATTCATTCTTATAATATCTTACTTTTTCTTAATTTTTAAAGTCATTGTTTTTAATTTTTGTGTCACTCCCTCATTTTTGTTTTTTTGTTTTGGTATATATATGTGTGTGTGTGTGAGAGACTGTGTGTGTGTGTATATATATATATATATTCTGTGTGTGTGTGTGTTAGAGAGAGAGGGGGAGAAGGAGAGGTAGAGATTTATGTTACACACTTACATCAACACTTGGTTGCACCAATGGCGATCCCAAAATAGATGTTTCCTATCTCTCTAAACCCCTAAACCGCCCCTCTTGCTCCCTGATTGGCGATTTCGGCGATTGAGTGGGGGTAGGAGATAGGAAGTAGGGAACCTAGGTTGCACTGGGACATGTGCAAGAGCATATACGGGGATGGGGCAGAAAACATCATCTAAAAATTACAGGATGCGGGGACGACAAGGATACGACAACAATAAATAATAAAATCCTAAATATAGAATTGTAAATGTAAAAACAATACTTAAATAGCAAAATGGTGAATTACTAAATACTCTGTAGTCCGTTCTAATTTAGGCAAGATAACTCTTCAGATTTTTTAAAAAATCAAAATCGTATTTTTAATGTTTGCCTAGGGAACAAATTATTTTTGAAAAAATAGAAGTAAGAATAAAAGATAAAATAGGGATAAAAGATTAAAGATGCAATTGACTATCCAAGCTCTTGATAAAAAAAGATAAGCAAAACTCAAAAGCAAAGCGCATCTAGTACCTGTAGGATTAGTCGAAGACTGGAATGCTGGACCAGTAGCTTTGAAGAGCCGAACAGGAGAGCGAAGAGACCACTTCCAAAATTTGAGAAGGTCTTATAGATACGATTTCTCTAGAAGGTTTATAAATTATTTTGAATATGTATCCTAATGTCTATAGTTGCATTTAAACCTATATCTTAATCGCGGTTTGGCTTTCAAAAGATACTCTTTACTCCACAGATGTTAAGAAAAATAATCCGTAATAAATTGGGTTGACGTCGCGGGTTGATGGGTCTAAAAGCACTCTGTACGCCCTGGCTTCCTGATTCCGTGTGGCGAAAAGTTGGTGATGAATCTAGTTGCATCGAGACGTTTCAAAATTGTCATCATCTGCCGTCCCCGAAGCCAAGTCCGTCCCCGCAACAATTCCGGTGCTCGAGCGGCACACATATGGCGAACCCGTGCAACCTATGTAGGAACCATCAATTTAATTGGTGTCATTTGACACACGAGTGGTGTAACATTGCATAAATCCAACTTTTCTATTGCGGTGGTAGTTTTGTAAATAAATTGAACTTTTTTGCAAATGCACTACTACAAGGGTAAAATGCCTCATGGCGCCCCAAAAATGCACCATTTTCATTTCTCGCAGTAAGGATGATTCTCACCTTAACGACACCCTATATATAATCAAAGGAGTGGACTTTGACCCATGTTGACTAGACTTTGACTGCTCACTGCCGCCATTGACCGCCGCCTGCCACCGACCGTCTACCGCTGGTCGCTGCTGCCGCCGTCGATTGCCAGTCGCCGGTCGCCGCCACCGCTGACCGGTGGTTGACCGGTGTTGCTATTTTATTTTTAATTAAATTTTTTATTTTTAAAGTTTAAAAAAATGGTGGCTTTTGGTGTTCAAAGTGGTTAGCTTTGCTTTATTTTCAGGTGAGTTTTGCATTGACAATCGGTGAGCTTTCCAGTGTAATGTTGTGAGCATTCAGATCAGTTTTTTTTCTTGTTGTCATATGACCAAAGCATGTCATCTTACCATAAATTTTGACATGATAAACTTGATCACAATTCTACCCCCAATCTTGATTTTGAGGATAGGGAGGCTGAAATTGCTGCTGAAACTATTGAGACAAATGATTTGAATTCTGATAGCGTTTATAATTTAAAGCTTGATGCTCTTTTCAATGTTGAGACTAAGGCAAACCATTTTTCTCTTGAGGATGAGATCAACAAAACATATGTTGGTCTTGAAGATAGCATTAGTGATGGCCTTAACAATGATGCTCAGCCTGCTATTGTTATCATTATGGAAACAGAGACAGACCATCATACTCCTACTGAATCGAAACTGGATTTTGGAAACGAAACACTTGAACTAGCTGATGCCACAACACTTAACCCTAAAATGAGGTGGCGGGGAGGGGGGGGGGCATCCTTACTATGACTACAAAGAGTATCAATACATAAGGGACTTCACTTTGGTCTAACGCAAAAAATGAAGTAACAAGGTGGATCCAGAAATGACAATCCGAACTCATTGGGACGCATTTCCAATATGGAGAGCGGAAGTATCCCATGAGGACTAGGACGGGGAGGCGGTAGGCGTTGGCGTGGGCGGGCTAATCCAAATTATCAAGGATGGGTGTCCTTCGA